AGCTAAGGGCGCCAACTTGCCATCATGGAAGTCGACGTACGCAGCGCCAACAACCAAGCACTTGGTGCTGGGATTGCGCACGGCAGGCTCTACGCCCGGCACGCAGGCGGAACGGCCCGAGGCAACGTTGTTTTCGTCTTTCGCGAACGCGCCCGGCCTCTTCGGGCCCACCATCCTTACGCTTGGCATCGACGTGTGCTTTCGTCTCGGCGAGAACCATCGAGGACCATCGAGCAAATAAGAGCACGCACGAAGCAGAAAAATGCACGGGAAATGGACGTCCGAGCGACGGCAAGTACGTCCCCCGAATCGTCGACGCCTGCTAAGCATACCCGTGGAACATAATCAAGGCTTTGTGAGCGCTGCTGCCATCGTGGCGCGAGCGTGGGTTAAGGCTACCAGGGGCTCCGCGCGAAAGTAACAGTCAGGAGGGAAAAAAGCACAGACACAATTAATCGTCGATTCCCTAGAACATGTGGGATGCCATGGGGAATCCTGTTATGTGTCTATTTATTTGTGTGTCCCAGGGCCCCTTCAAACAGTCCTGGCCGTAGCGCCCACCTGCGCAGACACCGAGCACAGAGTTCTACTGCTCCTTCGCTGAAGTTCTCCGGATGAATGCAACCTTTCAGGAGAGGAAAAAACACAGATACAATTAATCGTCGATTCCCAGGAAAATATGGGAAAATATGGGAAGTGGGGGGGAAGACGAAAACACAGATAATATGGGAAAATATGGGGAATCTTTTTATTTGTGTGTGTATTTGTTTGTGTGTCCTGGGGCCCCCCCCTCAACCTTGTCCCCCTCGGCCTCAGAGATAAGGGGGGGCCACGCGGAGGTTGCAAGCAGCGCTGCCGCCCCCCCGCTGCAGTGAAGCCCTCGGGTGGGAGGCGGGGGAAGTTCACTCCCTCGGCAGCCCGCCCCGGCGGCTCTGGGCGGGACTGCTGCCCCCCGTCTGGGGAGGCCCCGCAGCGCGGCTGCACGGGCCCGGGCTGCCCCACTTGCTGCGGCTGCCTCCGCACGGGCTGCCGCCGGCCTTTTGTGCGCGGCCTGCCGCCTCCGCGCCTTCCCCGGCCTCCTGTCGGCGGAGGCTATGAAGCGCTGCCGGGCATTACGGACGCACCTCTGCCGCCCGCAAGTGGCAAGCATGCGCCGTTTGACGCCTCTCTTCCAGAGTCTATCGCAGGACGGGCATAGCGACGGGTCCATGCGGGGGGAGGCATTGCTGCTTGAGCCACGCCCCTGCGGCAGCGTATCCCTCAATGCCTGCCTGCGTGCTCATGAGACAGACTATTGCCAACGAGTATGCCAATTCTTGTGGGAACGTGGGAACTGTTCCAGCAAACACATCCGCAGTAAAGCTCGAACCAGTCTTCGCCTCGATGTGAAGCACCCAGCCTTGATGTGAAGCACGATTGTCTACAGCGCATCTGTCCGCTTCCTGAAAGATGGGGGGGGGGCACTGCCGTAGGAAGGCTCCGTTCCCTAAGGCGCGGGCCTTTGCCATTGCTGGGAAGGAGTACGCGTACTTGTCTTCATGCACACACATATATATATACATCTATATATGCATAGGTCTTAGATCTAGATCATGATGGGGATGACAGCGATGAGGTATCACCGGGGTAGCACGAAATAGGTGGATCAGGAAGATGTCGCGAAGCAGGGGCAGGATCAGCATCCGGACCAGGATGCGCAGGACGGCTTGGAGCAAGATATGCGGTTGAGGTTGTGGATGTCCAGCAGCAGGAGGGGATGATACATCTTTTGCCACAGTGCAGTCGAGCTCGTTGGATTGGGAGTACTAGTGGCCCGCGCCGCCAGCAGCTCGTTAACTCTCCTGGTCGCCTCGTGGCTCGAGATCCGAACCGACCAAAGCTGTAACTTTGACATTTCTGCCTCCTGGGGCACCGGCACATCACGCGAAGCCACGCTGTCTTCAGAGGGCCTCCTGCTCCTCCTGGCTGTGCCCTTCTTCCTCATGGGGCATCTGGTATCGGCGTCACCCCATCCCACAGGGATGTTTTAAATGCATGGCCTGCGTGGGCGGGCGAGAGGAAAGTCTCCTGTGGCTGAGGCGCGGCCGGACCAAATGATTCTCCCTCTGGCAAGCGGTGGCGCGCGGTGTCCCGCCGGTGTCTCGCTTGTGGCTGGGCCCCGGCCGGACCAAATGACTCTCCCTCTGGCAAGCGGTGGCGCGGGGTGTCCGGCCGGTGTCCCGCTGGTGTCCCGCCGGTGTTCGGGTGTCCCGCTGGTGCGAAAACTATAGTGAGACCGATGACGAAATCGATTGTGAGATCGACAGTGAGACCGATAGTGAGACCGATAGTAAGATCGACCGTGAGATCGATAGTGAGATCGATAGTGAGATGAATAGTGATATCGATTGTGAGATCGAGTGATATCGATAGGGAGATCGTTAGTGGGATCGATAGCGAGAACCAGAGTGAGATCGACAGTGAAATCGATCGAGTGAGATCGATAGTGAGATCGATCGAGCGAGATCGATAGTGGGATCGATGGTCCCATCGATCGTGAGACCGATAACGGCATCGCTCGTGAGATCGATAGAGAGAACGGCCATCCCCGAAAGGCTTTCAAGAGGCACCCAAGAGGCACCCAAGAGCCCCCCAAGAGGCCTCCAAGACCCCCCAAGAGGTACAAAAAAAGCGCCCGAACGGCCCCCCAAGCCCTTGCAAAATGAATTAAATAAAGTAGTATTTCGTTGGTTGGTTCCCGGGGGGGAGAATGATACCAAGGCGCCCAAGAGCGAAGGATGACGTAAGCAACTCGACATCAAGGCTCCCAAGAGCGAACGGCAACGCAACAATCACCATTGTTGCCCACTGCTGGCCCCCCTCCCCCCCACAACCTCCTCATCACCCGCAGGGTGGTCGTATAGGTATTATGTAATCCCATGTATTCCTGCGCGCGCGATGGGGCTTAGTTTTCCTACTCTACGACTTCATTTGTTGTGGAATTGTCCCCTTAGTCTTCTCCTCCGTCTCCTTCTTCTCCTTCTCCTCATCCTCCCCGTCCTCTTCCCTCCTCTTCCTCCTCCCTCTTCGCCTCCTTGGTCTCTGCGCGTGCGCGACGGAGCTTGTGCCGTTTCCCCCACCGTTTCTTGTTCTTCGGCGCCCTCCTCCTCTTCCTCCTCCTCCTCCTCCTTCTCTTTGGCCTCCTCCTTGGTCTCTGCGCGTGCGCGACGGGACACCACGGGGCACCTCGGGATAACACATCGATCTCACTATCGATCTCACTATCGATCTCACTCAACGGGACACCACTGGACACCACGGGACACCTGTCGATCTCATTATCGATCTCATTATCGATCTCACTTGTTGGGACAATGCGGGACACCTCGGGGCACCACATCGATCGCAGTATCGATCTCACTATCGATGCCAGTATCGATCTCAGCCAACGGAACACCACGGCACAGCACGGAACACCTGTCGATCTCATTATCGATCTCACCATCAATCTCATTTTTTGGGACACCACGGGACACCTCGAGGCACCACATCGATCTCAGTATCGATCTCATTATCGATCTCCTTATCGATCTCACTCAATTGGACACCACGGGACACCACGGGACACCACATCGATCTCTTTATCGGTCTCACTATCGATCTCACTTTTTGGGACACCGTAGGAAACCGAGGGACACCACTGGACACCACGGGACCTTTGTCGGTCGCATTATCGATCTCATTATCGATCTCACCCAACTGGACACCACTGGACACTTATCGATCTCATTATCGATCTCACCCAGCGGGACACCGCGCGACGCCTCTCGTTCTCATTATCGGTCTCACTATCGATCTCACTCAACGGGGACACCACGGGACACCACTGGACACCACGGGACACCTCGGGACTCCACATCGATCTCTTCATCGATCTCAGTATCGATCTCTCTATCGATCTCAGTCAACAGGACACCACGGGACACCTCGGGACACCTGTCGATCTCAGTAGAGATCTCAGTATCGATCTCACTTTTTGGGACACCACGGGACACCTCGGGGCACCACATCGATCTCACTATCGATCTCAGTCAACGGGACACCACGGGACACCACGGGGCACCACGGGGCACCTCGGGGCACCTGTGGATCTCACTATCGATCCCACTATCGATCTCGCTTTTTGGGACACCACTGGACACCACGGGACAGCTCGGGACACCACATCGATCTCAGTATAGATCTCACTATCGATCTCACTATCGTCTCACTATCGATCTCACTCAATGGGACACCACGGGACACGACGGGACACCACCGGACATCGCGGTACACCGCGAGCCTCCGCCGGACGGACGGACGGACGGGCGGGCGGGGGAGAATCATTTGTTTTGACTTCGCCCTAGCAACAGCGGACACCACGGGACACAGCGGGACACCGCGAGCATCCGCCGGACGGGAAGGCGGGGGAGAATCATTTGTCTCGACTTCGCTCTAGCAACGGCGGACACCACGGGACACCGCGGGACATCGCGAGCCACCGCCGGACGGGCGGGCGAGGGAGAATCATTTGTCTCGACTTTGCCCTAGCAACGGCGGGTTCATTTCTCTCGCGCGCCCACGCAGCTTCGCCTCGCCCGCACACACGACACGAACAAAACGAAACCATTTCCCGCTTGGGGGTCTCCGTTCCATTGCGATCTCACCCCCCAACCTTCATATATATATATATATATCCCTTATTTTTTTGTTTTCTCTCTCTCTCTCTCTTTCTCTCTTTTCCTATGCCTCTCTTTCGCTATCTTTTTTTGTCTTCTCTCTCTCTCTCTTTCTCTCTCTCTCTCGGGGGGAAGTGGGAGTGCCGAGGGGCTCTGGGGAAGGAGGGGGAGGGGGGAGGCTGGAGGGAGAGGGGGATGGGGGAGGAGGGATAAGAGGGGGCTGGGGATGGGGGAGGGGGGCAGAGCCTCCCTCGGGATGCCCAGAGGCCCCCGACGGCCTCAGAGGAGGCCGCGACTCTGTCGAGTCCCGACGCTCGACACCTCGATCCTGGGAGGGAGGGGCGTCGTGCCTCGATGCTCCTCGAGGCCGTGGTTCTCGATCCTCTGCCTTCGCACGTGGGCCGTGGGGGGATGGAGGGTGGCCCGTGGAGGCCGGGCGGCGGGGGCAGAGGGGCGGCGGCGAACCCCGCCGGGCACCGTGCGCGCGCGCGCGCAGTCCTCGCCGACGTCCTCTCCGTACACGCTCGCATCGATGCACCTCCGGTGGGCTGCGCCCGCGGCTCTCGGCCTCTCGGGCAGGGGGGGAGAGAGAGAGAGAGGGGGGGAGGGGGGGGGAGGGGGAAGGGAGGGGGAGGGGAAGAGAGAGGAAGAGAGAGGAGAGAGGAGAGAGAGAGAGGGAGGGGGAGAGAGAGAGAGAGAGAGAGAGGGAGAGGGAGAGGAGGTGGGAGAGGGCGGGAGAGAGAGAGAGAGGGAGAGGAGAGAGGAGAGAGGAGATGGGGAGGGGGAGTGCGAGACTGGAGGAGAGAGCGCACCGGTTCGATCGGGCGGGTGGTATCGTGGGGGGGGGGGCCCCGGTGGGGGGTGAAGAGAACGGCCCTGAGAGGGGCTCGTCGGGGCCCCTTTAGGGCACCAGCCGGCTCCAGAGAAACGGAGCCCTCACGGACCCTTGTACACTGATGTCCTCTGTTAGGAAGTTCCCTCCCGCCAGGCTGGGTCTCATTTGTTTGAGGTCTCGGTAGCCAATTCCCAGAAGCAGATGCAGGTTCTTAACGCTGGCATCTTCATCCTTGTCTTCCTCTGGATCTTCTGGATCTTCTCCCAGACCTTCCTTGAGACCTCTTTCTTGATCTTCCCCTATATCTCCCCCCCGAATCTTCCTCCAGATCTTCCCCAGATCTTCCTACGTAGATCTTCCCCAGATCTTCCTCCAGATCTCCCTCCAGATCTTCCGCAGATCTAACTCCAGATCTTCCCCGGATCTTCCTAGATCTTCCCCAGATCTTCCTCCAGATCTTCTCCCAGGTCTTCCCCAGAATTCCCTAGATTCTCCCCCGATCTTCCTCCAGATCTTCCTCTAGATGTTCCCAGTTCATTTTTTTCTGTCTCCAGCGTTTGGCCGACATCTTATTCAGCAAGTGGCTAGAGTCCTCTCTGTCTCCTTGGACTCCACTGCGGGCACTTTGCCCTCTTGCAATCGTTTGAGGGCTTACTTGCCATGCACTGTAGGCTCACCCTCACAACGATTAAATCATTTCCTCGCACCCTTCTGTGCGTAAAATCCACATTTGAGACAGATTAGAGTGCCGAATCCCTGGTGGACTCCGATTGCGTGTGTAGCGTGAACCTGATATTCCCCAGATATATTTCAGATCTTCCACCAGATCTTCCACTAGATCTACGCTGAGATTCCTCTGAGTTTCCAGATATTCTTCCAGATCATCGTCCACATCTCTCCCCAGAGCCCTCCTCCAGATGTTCCGCCCAATCCCGCTCCAGACATTCCCTCTATAGTTTCCGTCTTCCTCCAGATGTCCCACGGTTCTTACCATATATTCTTTCAGATATTACCCCAGATCTTCACACAGATTTTCACCGAGATCTCTCCTCCAGATCTTTCCCCAGATCTTTCTTCAGATCTTCCTCCAGATTTTGCCCCATATCATCTCCAGATCTCCCCCAGATCTTCACCCAGAGTTTCCTCGAGATCTCTCCTCAAGATCTTCCTCCAGATCTCTCCTCCAGATCTTCCTCCAGATATGCCCCCTGATCTTCGCCCAGATCTCCGCCCAGATGTTTTCAAAGATCTCTCCTCCAGATCCTCCACCAGATGTTTGTCCAGATCTTCCCCAAGATCTACTCCAGATCTTCCTCCAGATCTTCAACCAGACCTTCACCCAGATCTTCCTCGAGATCTCTCCTCCAGATGTGTCTCCAGATCTTCCTCCAAATCTTCCTCGAGATCTTTCCCAGATTTTCCCCCAGATCTTCACCCAGATCTTTCCCGAGATCTCTCCTCGAGATCTTCCCTCTGATTTTTCTCCAAATCTTTCACCAGAACTCCCCCCAGATCTTCCTCCAGATCTCCCCCCAGATATCCACCCAGATCATCCCCGAGATCTCTCCTCTAGGTCTTTCTCCAGATCTTCCTCCATATATTACCCCAGATCTTCCCCTAGATCTTCCCCTAGATCTTCACCCAGATCTTCACCCAGATCTTCAACCGGATCTTCTTCGAGATCTGTCCTCTAGATATCCCCCTGATCTTCCACCAGATGTTTCTCCAGATCTTCCTCCAGATCTTCGTCCAGATCTTCACCCAGATCTTCACCGGGGTCCTCCTCGAGATCTCCCCTCTACTGCCTAGATATTCCCCAGATCTTTCTCCAGATCTTCCTTCAGATTTCTCGCCGGTCTTCGTCCAGATCCTTCGCAGCATCTTTCTCCACATGTTCCTGCATGTTGTGTTCCATTCATTGCTGCAGAGCCCCCAGCTCCGCGCAATCGGCATCATCACCGGTACAATATTTATCAAAACCACCAGCAGTGGCGCCGCGCTGCGCTAAGAAACTGCACGTTTCAAAGCTGGCTATCGCAAGAGGGCTAAGACATTCAGCGAAGCTGGGTCTCAATTTCTTACTGTAAGATTTCTTACTATAAGTTTTGAGTGTACTCTGTCTCCCCCATCCAGGTCACCCACCTTAACCACCCGCCCGATTCGAACACAGTCTGCTCATGCTGTGGGAGCAGGCTCCCCCCAGGCCAGCCTCGAAATGCAAGCAAAAGCGTGACGTGGTGATAATGGCGAGGGGCACCGTTTTTTTGCGCTCGCGCAGTCAGAGAAAAGCCGGCTGTACACACACGCATGGCTGGCGCGATGCGGCGCGCAAGGTAATGGTGGCGCCATTTTGCGGGCGGGGCTACGACGATGAGAACTCCGTTCCAGAGCGTTCTGGAACGCTCTCAGAGCGTTCTGGAACGCATTGAGAGGGCCGCGGCGCCCGAGACATCCTCCAGATCCGCGGGGATTTCAGAGATTCTCGATCTTGACCCGAGTTTATCCTCGCTTTGGCTTCGTCTTAACCTTGGGGCATCCTTCGCGGCGGCCCAAGAAGAAGGCAGCGGGTCAGGTGCCGGCTGTTCTCGGAACTCACAGAGAGAGCAGGCGCCAGCACTGGTGTGCCGCGCGTTGAGCAGCACGGTAGACAGGTAGGTTGTTTTGGAGGGGCGCCCAATATCAACCGTAGGTCGGACAACCTGCTGGTGGCCGCCTTAGGCAGCTTGGGTTCAGTGGAGCCTGCTTAGCAGCGGGGCAGACTGTTCCTGCGATGAGGCCGTTTCGCGATCACACTGTGCCTGGCCGTTGAAAGGTTGCGGAAAGCAAAGGATTGCCTTCGGTCCGTTCATTGGGCCCCCGTCCTTCATTGGCTTCTCTGCCGTCGGTCACTGTCCTTTCAGTGCTCCCCGTACCCTGGTGGGTGAAGGGGGGGTGGCCAGGTGGTGAGGGAGACTGGTCGTGTCGGAGTGATCCTGTTGACCGTGGGCAGCTTGCACCTGACCGTTGGAAAACCTTGGTTGGCACACGTCGTGGTGATCGTCGTGTTCACTGTGCCCGTCACTGCTGTGTTTTTTTGAAAGGGGAGCGTCGTTTCTTTCGTCGCCCTCGTTCAGAGAGGCGCCTAGCCCGAGCGGCTGCTTTTCCTCGCCGTCGAACTCCTCGAGTAGGCCCGCCCATGGATCATCGACGTGATCGAGTTCGTCGGGCCATGGTGGACCGTCGAGATGCGCGGGGCCGCCTTGTGAGGGCTCGTGACCGCCTTGGCCGATTGTGAGAGGGTTGGGGTTCATCTTGCCGAGATCAGCCCGTGAAACACCCGCCCGCGTGTCTGGTAGGGGAAACGTCTGGGCTGCTTGCTGCTGCTGTTGCTGGTTTCTCTTTTCCTCTTCTCCCTCCCCTTCTGCTTTCCCTTTTTCCCAGCCACGGGGCGACCTCTCGCGCAGGTGCAACAAAGGTGTGGTGACGCCGGCTTCAGACCGCGGCCGCCGTGCTGTGGAGGACGGCGTTGAATTCGTGTCGCCACTTAGGTGCGTCGATGACGCCTGATGGCACGCCGTGCGGGCGTGCGGTGGCAAGGTCGTCTGCGTGGCGGCGGGATGCTGCCGCGGTCGGCGTGGAGCGCCCCACGCACACGCCGTGCTCGCCCGGGTGGTGTTCCACCTCGTGGTTGTTGGCATGTCCAGCGGTCTGGGAGACACGGTGTGTTTTCCCAGTCGGCCAGGTCACCCGTGCGTCACGGTGCTTCATCCCCGGGAGGGTCTTCCGAGAGAAGGAAGAATATCCAGAGTGAGAGAGAGAGAGAGAAACAAACAAAGAAAATATAGAAATACAGTAAGAGAGAGAGAGGGACAGACGAAAGAGGGAGAGAGGGAGCGGGAGAGAGAGATACATAGTGAGAGAGAGAATGATACATACACATCTATGCATATATATATAGAGAGAGAGACAGAGAGAGGGATAGAGAGAGAGACAAAAAAATAGAGAGAGAGAGAGAGAAAGACAGAACAAGAGAGAGACAGAGACAGCGAGAGAGAGGGATGGGGGAGGCGTAGCATAATTGCAAGGGGCGGGGGAAGGACAGATATTGGAGTGCAAGACAGAGGCCGATGAGAGATGATGAGCCGAGCGAGCTGGGGATGGAGGGGGCCAGGGAAACTCATTTGATCGGGGAAGGTCAGCTGAGAGGATGGGCCGTGCTGAGTTTTCTCCCCGGCCTCCTTGTTCTTCTGCCTTCCCCCCCTCGCTCCCCTCCTGCCCCCTTGCCTCCTCCTCCCTCCCCTTCTCCTTCCCTCTTCTCGTCGATCTCCTTCCGTCCCTTCTTCCACACTCTCTCCGCCCTTCCTTTGCCCTCCCCCCACCTTCCCTCCTCCCTCCACCCTCCCTACTCCCTGCCTTGTCCCTTCCTAGTCTCGTCTCCTCTCCTCCTTCCCCCTTCTCTCCTTCATTGCATGGCAATCCAGGTTTCAGAGATCAGGGCCTCGCCCATCTGCTCGTGCTCGTGCTCCTCCCCTAATGGAGTAGATCTCCCTCCTCCCTCCATCGAGTAGATCTTGGATGTTTTTGGCGCCTGTTTCGAGCAGGTGGAGTCTCCCCCCATAGGACGCACTGTTGCAAACAGTCGCACTAAGCAGAGGTCTAGAGCAAGACCCTCCCCCTCCACCCTCTCTTTGCTCAATGTCGAAACGCCGAATAAGAAAACGATCACCTGGTCGCCGCCATTCCCCCTCCGCGGCAGGTGTGCAACACCTTCCTGGTCGCGATACCCGTGATCGCGGCGTGCCTGGCCTTCGTCTCCCACTGCGAGGGCTGGCCTCCCCTGGCCGACGGGCTCCTCTTCCCAGGCGCGGGAGCACCAGCGACGCCTCGGCGACGGCGGCGGCGGCCGTGGCGGCGGCCGCGACGACGGCCCTGGCGACGGGGGTGGCGGCCCTGGCGACGGCGACGGCGACGGAGACGGCGGCGACGGCCGTGGCGACGGCCTGGGCGGCGACGGCCTTGGCGGCGGCGGCGGCGGATTCGCGGCGGCGGCGG